TTTGTGGCTATTACGATAAAGAGAGTTAACGACTCACTTATTTTTTTAGCAGGAACGGATCCAGATCATATATATATATATATATATATATATATATATATATATATATATATATATATATATATATATATATATATATATATATATATATAAATTATATATATATATATATATATATATATATATATATATATATATATATATATATATATATATATATATATATATATATATATAATTATATGAGATTCTACTTTTTACTCCCCATGCGTGTGCTTATACAGCCTCAGTGAAAAAGATAAAATGGCAGGAAGCGAGAGAGACATTTGTCACCTGCTCAAATGGCTTGACTCGTTTCTTTTGTTCCGGGGAATTAATTTTTTTAAATTGCCGGATAAACAAAAGCGTGGAACATCTGTGGGAAAGGTCTTCAGTTGGAGATTGTGAATGCGTGAGAGAGTGTTCTTTTTTAAAACCCATTACCATGTTATATAGAGGGTGTTTCATTTTTTTTCCTGTTTACCCATAAGACAACGCTGCTAATTTAAATATTTTTTTCTTCACTAATTTATGATGCTTTTTTTTTTTAAAGAAAAAAAAAATGTGTCGAGCCGAATAAAATCCAACCAACAACTAGAAATTTTGTTGGAGTTTTTCGTATTTGCCTTACGCATTAACCTCGTCATTGTTGTATATTTCCAGGATACCACGCATATATGCTTTAAAAAAAAATTAAGTTCGCATTTTAAAGGGCAATAACCAATCCTATGTCGAATATTGCATGTATTTTTTAAAAAAAAAACTACACCCTAATACTGAACCCAACAATACCGATGCAAGAAAAACTGCTAATTAAGACTACAGGCTTAAACTCAATTACCCATTATCTTATTTAAAAACAAACCCACTTTCTTTAAGTGGTTTCAATATTTGGACACTGTTAAAAAAAAACTCTAAAAAAAAATTCTTTTTGATGTAGGGTACGAAAATGAACCCCACTTCACTTTAAAAAGAAATTATTTTCAGCATTTAAGCGTGCGAACAACACTCTTATATTCATACACTTGTCTTCGCGATCCCTGTCAATAATTTAATTAAGACAAACACAAAGAAGGTGGGAGGGGAGGTAATTTCTTAAGCCTATATAAGAAAAAAAAACAATCTACTGTTACAGACACTTTAAGGCAGAATAATAAGGGGAGACAACAAACGTCAGCATCCTCTTGAAGCAGCCTAAATAGCTCAAGTGTGAAGTGGAGATTTTAACAGGGGACAATAGGTGGAGATTGTAATTACATCCTGGCCTAGAGGTCTAATATTGTGTGAGAGTACGTCATGAATGGTTTGTGTACTCACTCCTTTTGGAAAAAGCAAGACACAGGTGTAAGAGGTGTGTGTGTGTGTGTTAAAATACATGTGTCTGTATATACATATATATATATATATATATATATATATATATATATATATATATATATATATATACTTATACAGTAAGCTTATATCATATATATATATATATATATATATATATATATATATATATATATATATGTATATATATATATATATATATATATATATATATATATATATATATATATATATGGTACATATATGAATATAAGATTTAAACAAGAGATATATAAATAAATAGAGATACACACTATGTTGCGCTATATAAGTACACATTCATTCTGGAAATCATATATACATATATACATAGATAAATATATTGTTGAAAATTTGAATAGATATGTAGAAAACTACACACACAAACACACACAAACTCATATATATATATATATATATATATATATATATATATATATATATATATATATATATATATATATATATATATATATATATATATATATATATATATATATATATATATATATATATATATATATATATGCATATGAAGAGACCATTTTAAAAGCATACACTTTTCTATTTCGATATAGAATTTTATAGAATTTAATACACTCACAATATATAGCCTATAGGCTTACACACACACACACACGCACACACACATATATACATACATATATATATATATATATATATATATATATATATATATATATATATATATATATATATATATATATATATATATATATATATATATATATATATATATATATATATAAGAATCTAACGTTTATCGTACAGTATGGGAAGCGACGGTGCTGCTCCAGAAAACACAAAGTGACATGATGGGAATAAATAAAAGCATCTAGGCTGGGGTCAAGTTCTGAGTGGCCCGCCACTTTAAAAGCCATCGTCGTCGGTAGAGGGATAATGAAGTAAACCTACACCTCTCGGTAATTAAGCCTCGTTGTAATGACCCTCGCCAATAAGAAAGAAATTAATTACTCAATTCACACCCTTTAGTGAATGGCCGGTGCGCAGTGGACGAAGATACATGGCTCAAGTGCTTTCTGGTGCGTTGCACGGCTTCACTTCCCTGCGCAAAGTGGATTGCCGAGAGCAGACTTTTCGTACATACTATGAGTCTGTAGTCACGTAACTGTGGTAGTATCTCTAGGGTTGGGCAATTTTCGATATATACATACGTACATATTTACATAGATACATATATATATATATATATATATATATATATATATATATATATATATATATATATATATATATATATATATATATATATATATATATATATATACACATATATCGATGGGTTCATTGCTCTATTCCTGTTGAGTTTGGGGTTGTTATCGTAGAGATGAGCCCATATCGTTAAGTCTCATAAAAATCAGGTTTATAGTTATTTCTCTCTTTTTTTTTTTATTCATTTTAACCTACTGAATTTGCTATCGCTGTGTCGTAAGATGTGTTTTATTTTTTTTTTAACTTTTGATTTGTGTTTTCGAAGTGACTTAGAAGTCATTTCTACTGTTTTGTTATGGTTGTGTTGTCTGATGCGTCGTATTTTCGAGTGACTTAGAAGTCATTTCTGCCACTTCAGGTCACTCTTTTCTGCGTGTCCCTTAACCGCATCTCCCGCCCCCCCCCCTTTCCTCTCTTCCGTTATGGTCACTACACAAAGACGACGATGAAAAGGAACGGTCCTCTTAATGTCTAGTGGCCATAGGCAAATGAGTTGGGAAACGAAAACAATAGTAGGCCGCAGAGTACATTGCTGTGTTTTGGGAATTTCCGATTTACAGTAAACATTATCTAAATGTTTGTTTTTACATTTAGATTTATTTATTTATTTATCATTATTATTATTTAATTGAAAATACCATTTAATTTTATATTTATATTGCTTCTTAAAGTAGAACAAAAGGAAAGAAAAGTTCCCATTTCGAACCTGATAATCCATATGGTAAGTGAAGTAGAGTTCACCTGTTCCTTTAACCTCGGCATATGAAGGGATATTCTGGTCAGCACTATACCCAACCTTATTTACTTTCCGTAATGGGATTTAGGTAGGCTACGCATCAGAGCCTGGAGGACGCAGAGACTAAGAATAATGCAAGGATCGTCATAATAAAAAGCCAGACCCCCATCCTTAAAGGATTTCACACCTCAGACTACACCCACCTGCCCGAATTGCAGTTATTCGTTGTTGTTTTTTTTGCGACTGTTTTCTCAAATATTGTTTTAAGCACGGTCAAAATTAAGTAGATTAAAACTTCTATTACAATTGACATGACATATCTGTCAAATTTTGTGTCAATATTAAACGCCCATCAAATGGTACCTTATAACGGAAAAGTAACACGTGTTCGTACACATTTTCCTCAACCCCCCATCACGGCATGGGAAACCTCTTGCCCGCCATCCTATCAACTTACAGCATCAACTTAAAACATCAACTTATAAATTCTTGTGCAGTTCGATGGCCGGCCCAAGTGTTTTGAAGTGGAAGGTTGGAACCCTCATTGACTTGATCACTGTGGGAAACTCTCTTGAGTTCCGTGTCGCCCTACATGACAAGCAGCACGAAATATATATATATTTTACTCTTTCCGCCAGTGACCTCCCTTGATTAGCTCCGCTATACAAGCAGGGACATAACTCTTAGCGATGACGATATGACGCGTAATTCGGCAATCATGCGGCTTGTCATGTACAAAGGGAGTTCACTCGCAATTAATGGTAATAATACTAGAAAAAAAGTATATACAGGGGGGTGATACTTATATATTTGACATTGCTGATCAGGACAGAACGCTTAGTGAAACGCTTTTATGCTATTGCGTAAGACACGCTTTACGTTACTGGTATCAAGTTTACGGTCGTAAAATTGAAAAGGTATTGCTACACAAATAGGTTGAAAGGTTGGTTTACGCGTGCATTAGATAATAGCTAGCATACGCTAAAGTAGCAGTTACTAAGATGTTATAGATGGTAGGTTATGTGATTATGGTGTGTGCCTGTATGAAGTGTAAGTGTACTATAGTGGTAGTTCTATATATGTGATGCGTGTGTTATTATGCTATCCATGTGGTATGTGTCTGAATTTTAAGATTATGTGGGTTACCTCTATACAGTCCCAAACTATTGATCGCCTTTTATATTATAGGCAAGTGGAGTTTAATAATGTTGAATAAGAAGAAAATTTAAACTATATTCTATTAAAGTTGTTGGTAATAAGATAACAGCTTAAAAGACTGGACTGATAAGAATGAAAAAAAAAAGGTACAAACGAAATAAACAATAAAATATATTTCACCAAGAAACACATGTAATGTTTCGAGAACTAAATTATCTTAAAATAAAATTTATTAAAAAAAATTATAGTTTAATAGACCTATTGTTTTTCTTAGCCTAATATATTCCCTGTATAAAAGATAATTAAAAAATACTTTCGAATCATTTTGATCTAGGAAAAAAACTATGTTCAAAGCGCTATTGGTATAAAATATAAGAAGGGAAATAACTCTAATTTTCAATGCATTTTAAAAACACCAATACGGTATTTCTTGGTGAATATCTTCTAACATTTCCCTTACCTTTTGATTCATCTACACCCACTCTTTTCCCTGAGAAAAAAAAGAAAGAAAAAAAGAAATCATTATTTGTGTTTCCACATTTATAGGAACAAAAAAATACAAAAAAAAAAAAGAAAAAAAAATGAAAAAATGTGTTTTTTGAATCTCAGCAGGAAAAATAAAAAGAATACAGTAACTGTTTATTGTCTCGCCACATAGGCGACAGGGAAAACCACTACTTTGAAGACTTTTTGTTTTTTTGATCTTCTACGTCTTCATATGCTGGCACTTAACACAAAAGATATTCAAATGTTTTACGCCTTTCCCCTTTCCCATATTCACCAAAGCTTTGGTATTCTCAAAGATAAAACAAAAGGGAACAAATTAAACACGTCACAAAAAGGTCGTACGTTTTTTATGTAATCGTTGAAGATAATTATCGATACTATTATATTTTAACGATATTTTTATATACACGAATGCAGTATTTAAACGAAAAATTCGAATCGATTATGGGGTTTTTGGTTTTTGTTGCTTCGGGAACAAATCTCTTTTAGTATCGTGTTTTTTCAATACAATTTCGGGTAAATATCTTAACAGTTTCAAACAATTTTTACGTACCGCCCCCTTCCTCTTTTGTGGAGGGCCGCACCCCCCAGCCCCACCCCTCTCTCCCCCACGAGTAGCGTAGCACTTAAAGACCCTTGCTCCCACGTTTAATGTCCCCCCCCCCACTCCCCCCTCTTGACGTCTTCACAAAGCCTTCCCTTTTACTCGCCCTATTTGATCTATATACCAGAGATGCAACATGCTATAAATAGAAACCTAACTCACCGACGCAAAAAAAAACCGGAAGTGAGTACAATAATGCGTATGTTATATAGAGTGAAATTCATACTTTTATGAATATAGTTTATAATTAATATTGTAATTTTTACTCAGGTAGTGTGTCTTGGTAATATAAATCAAAATCGGTAAAATTATATTCTTTGGCAAATCATCGAACCGTTCTAAAAATTAATTACTTAATTAACAAATGTACATAAATATTTACATTTGACATCTGATACAAAAGTTTAGAAAATTGTTTGACAATGAGATTGATATTTAAGGAGCGAATGGGAATCTATATCAACAAATGTCTACTCTATCTCTATGTGCATGTTTCAGTTTTAGAAATGTACAACCACATCATAATTACGCCGCATTGGATTTCTATAAACTCCGTACAGTAGGGGCCCCACATTTAAAAAATCCCTAACTTTACACCTTAGATTTGGCTCAAAAAGAGCTGATTGCGTTCCTGTTTTCACAAGGCTCGAACTCTACAACGTAGTCATCTCAGAACAGAGTTGCGTCCCTGCTTTCTCTTGAGTAAAAATAAATGATGATGCCTTTTGTCAAAAAAAAAGGCGTCTACCTTTTCTCCCATCCCCCTAATTCTTTGTTCCTCCTGGTGCCATATGCAATGTCCTTCCCACGCAAGACAGGAAGTGAGAAGAGAAAAAAAAAAATCCTTTCTTTCACCATTTTCTGTGAGGTGAAAACGAACCTTGGAATTGGCAGCCGTAAATTACAATGAATTTTAAGGTTCATTGTTTATTTCATGCTCAGCCCCTCCTCATACCCCACCCCCCCACTCCCCCACCCTCTTGCCCGCACCCCTACCTTCTCCGGTGCAAGGGTGCCACAAGGCAATCAGTACGTAAGTTATTGTAGTGTTTTTTTTTTTCCAAAGCCGCTTCTTTGTACTACGTGACCTCAATGTATTCTTTTGTATGTGTGTGTTAGGTGGGTGGATGGGGAAGAACAGAGATGATGAGTGATGTCAAACACGGGTTGGATGGAAGTGGATTATGGAATTAGGTGGATGACTGGGATTAAGGCGGATTATGATGTGAATTTTTTAGAGTGGCTGTTATTGATGGTGAGGTGGATGGTTGTGGATTAAGAATTGGGGTACGGAGTGTTAGGTCGGGGAATGACAAGAACGGCGCTTGACTACTGACCCGAATGTTTTGAGTTCGAATCTTGGAGTTTAGTCTGTATAACGTGCCTGAGTTAACTCAGCTCTGATGAGTACCGGTACCTGACACATTAGGGAAAGTAAAAGCGGCTGGGCATAGCACTATCCCTCTATATGTGATTATTACAGAAACAGATGTACGATACTTAATCTGCCTTATTAACATTCATCTCCGAAAGTGCAACTATAAAAAGAACAGGTAAGTTGGATACTGGATTAAAATATCACAATCACTTACATTCCTCAAAGTTAATTCAACAAAACTCAATACCATTAAATTTAAATTCAAACCACATGCTACTAATTCCAATTTTTTTCTTCTAATTAACTTTTATACACGGCACTAATTAATTAGCAATCAGGTTCAGTTGTAAAAGCCAGATTTCTTCTGTCTGACAAACGAACGAGTCAGCATTGTACTCCCCATCAATTATTACTTTCAAACCTTGCATTAGCCAGCCGGAGTTGAAATCAACTGTTCCTGCTCGCTTTTAAACGGTAATGTAGTTGACAAAAGACATCTTAGCTGAGTCTGCTTCGTTGTAGGTTTTAGAAAATTTCTGTTTTGAAATATTCTATTTTATGTTTTGTTTTACTAGACGCATTGTGAATTTGATTAAATGGTGATTTTTTTTTTTCCTTTTTTTTTTTTTTTGAATCTGTTTTCGTAATATAATTGTAAATTTCAAAACTTTAATTTGAATGTTATGTTTTCAAATGCTTTTCCCTAAAGACACAGTTACATTTGTATGCTTTGTTTTGTTATATTTCGTTTCGTTTCATTTCATTTTGTTCTGTTTTTTGTCTTGTTTTGTTTCTTTTTAGAGAATGCATATTTTTCTTCCTGATCTTAATTGTCAAAAAAATCTTTTAATATTTCAGTATTGATAGATTGTTTTCTGACATGCTACCAGGGGGAGATAATGAAGGATGGGAGGTAATCAAACAGGGGAGATAATCATTAGCCCTTGAGTCACACATACCGGCACACCTTCACCACTGGTAAAAATGTCTGCAGGCTTTAGAAGGCTGACAATTGATTCCCTCTTATCCCCTTCCCTCCCCCACCCCTTCAAATAAATCAGCACCAGTATATTTCGGCGATCGGGAAGTCAAGTATGACTGATGATCCTTCAGTCGTAATGACAGCTGACAATGGTTGAAACACAAACAGCCGTTTAAGATTTGTTTTTCGGGATTGTTTCCCTTGATAGGTTATTCGTTGAAAAAGGGGAATTAAATTTTGTTATTGATTATAAATTGTAATAATAATTATATTTATTTCAGTTTTAATCAAAATCAAGTTTTAATGTTCCGTAAGAAACATAAAAAATCATTTAATATTTGTGGTTTGGGATTATTTTCCTTGATTGGTAATTTGCTTAATACAGGGACCCAGTTTTCATGGATCAGAAACAATAGTGTCAATTAAATTAACTTTTAATTAAATTGATTAAAGTCAATTTTATTTATGTTCAGTGGTACGTTTCTTTGTGTAATCTTTAAATTAATTTAGAAACAAAATGCAAAAAAAAAAAAAAAAAAAAAAAAAAAAAATAGAAGCAATATGCATTACAAACCTGAGCATTGTTTTAATTTTATAAATTTATACTCATTAACTTCATTGTTAATAAGAAAACTGCCTGTATGGTGACATGATGAACAAAAAATCCCCTAACCGGGGTTAATCTTGCTCACTATAAATAACCAATAAACTCCATCGTTTTCAATTATGTTAATGTAATTAGTTATTTAATTTTTTTTAATAACAATATACCAGATTAATAAAATGGACACTTAAGCCGTTAAAGTTTATAATTAACTCCGGTCAAATATTGAGCTAACTCCCATTACCTGTTAGGTTATTGTTTTAGTTTATCACGTGATTTTAATTAGCCCGTGCTTCGGGCTGAGTTCATCAATGGCCACGCGTGAGTTTCTATTCAAGTAGATGTCGGTGTTCAGGTGAGCGGTCAATGCATCGTGTACTTAGCGTTAAGTGTGAGTCAATTCGTGGTGTTTTGTGACATTAGCGCGGCTTTATATAAAACAATGTTCAAAAATGAATACTTAGAAAAACAGTACAAATCAGCAAGGGTTTCTTCGGTTAAGTATACAACATTAGTATACAACAGTAAGTATACAACAGAAAGTATAGAACAGTATGTATACACCAGTGTGCATACAACAGTAGGTATACAACAGAAAGTATACAATAGTAAGTATACAGGAGGAATAAGGTAACTGTACAATAACTAATAAAGCGGAGTATACGGTAAATAAAGAACGTATAGGCAAGTGGGACCTCTACATTAGGTATACATGGTTGTTTAAAAACGTACACAGTAAATGCACCAACTTTGTGAGATAAATAAACACTTTCTGTTTTAACGAAACAAATATTTATTTGGTGATAAACAATGAAATAGAAATGTGGTTTAAATAGAATGTGGTTTTGGTGATAAACAAAGAAATAGAAATGTGGTTTAAATTGAATGGGGTGTAAAGAAAATTAACAGTAGTTTACCGTGAATTAACAAATTAGTGATTTGAAATTCTGCTGTTGATGATATGTTTATTTTGATTGAATACTGATTTGTAGTTCGATCTATTGAAAGCGGATGGTCTAAAAGAGACTTAACAGAAAGGCAGATTGTGTAGACGTGGGGGGGGGGGGGGGTAAGGGGAGGGGTCGTGGAGTGCGGTGGGCTAAGGACTGGGAGGTCGACAAACGATGTAAGCCAGCGGAACAACTGGCAGGTCAGGGTTACACCAGGTTAACTGGCTTGCCAGATTTTTTTTTTGGCGTCGGTTAAATAAGAAGGTTTATATTGCGTGATGTTCAATTTTTTAAATGTATTTTTTTCTTCTTCTTAATGATGTAGATCTAATTAAACTAATTGAATAAGGGTATTTGATTGGAACAGTCAAGTCACTTGCTCAATATTAATCGTAAATTCGTTTTTGTAAACACGGTGGATATTTGGAGGGGGGGGGGGAGGGAGAAGAGAATAGAAGAATGAGT